ACTGGAGAGAGTCCAGTGGAAGACTACAAAGAGGATTAGGGGACTGGAACATCTCTCTTACAAGGAAAGGCTGAGACCTGGGTCTGTTTAGCCTAGAGAAGACTGAGAGGGGATCTTCTCAATGCTCATCTAAAGGACAGGTGTCAAGAGGAGAGGGCCAGACTCTTTTCAGTGGTGCCCAGTGATAGGACAAGGGGCAACAGGCACAAAAAGTTTTACCTAAACCTAAGGTGAAACTTCTTCACTGCAAGGGTGATGGAGCCCTGGAACAGACTGCCCAGAAATGCTGTGGAGTCTCTCTCTGGAGACTTTCCAAACCCAGCTGGACACTAACCTGGGCAACCTGCTCTAGGCAGACCTTCTTTAGCCTGGGAGGGCTTGGACTAGATTATCTCCAGAGGTCCCTTCCAGCCCCTAGCAGTCTGTGATTCTGTAAAGAGGGGGGCTTCCAAATGAGTTGTCACCTTGTCATGGGCCTCCGACTCCAAGGAGACCCAAGACACAATAGAAGTGCTGTCTGAGACAACATGAAAGTCAGACGTGCAGGAATAACCAAGTTAATTACACTTGCATTCCTCTCTATTCCAAGAAGTAACTGTACCCCTTAAAATGAGAAGTCACAGGAAGAGGCCTTGCTGTAGGGTTTCATCAGGAGTTTCCATAAGTTCATTACCTGACTGTATCACCTATTTTTATTCATTCTCTCCTGTGAAAACTGATCTTCCCCTTTAAAAAAACACACAAAAAGCCAAACTTTGTGACACCTCTTCTCCAGTCCATCACTTACCCTCATGCATAATTGTTCTCTTCCTTACATGTTCTTCCACGTCAAACTTGCTCATTTGCAGTTTACTACTTTAAAAACAAACAAACAAAAAGACAAAACACCACAAAACTAAATGCAGTATTTAGCAGCTGTTATCTTCCATTTAATGGATATGGAAGCAATAGATGGTGACTTTTATCAGATATTTCATCTACTGCTTCTAAAAAAGCATCTCCTGACAGTTCACTTGGAGACAGAACCTCGGACTTGTTCCCATAAAGACAGCTGCATTCTGCAGCTTCTCTACAGGAAACTGCTTGGGCTTTGGGGAGGGAGACTGGGAAGTAATTATATGTGGATTTAATCATCAACTGTTGATTTTTTGTTTTGTTTTGTTTTGGTTTTTTAACTTTTATGCCATGATCAAATGTTAGCCCCATTGGCTTCCTGCTTAAAGATGCATTTTGGCGAAAATAAAGCCCCTTTGATACCTTTTCTGCATTTAGGAAGTCAAAAATCCCTTTCCACAGCCAGTAACGTTTCCTGGATACTGCTGGAGACCGAAGAGGGAATCTCCTCCGAGCTGTCCCAGGACTGGAACCAAACCCAACGTTTGTGTTGCTGAAACGCCGGCCTCAGGACCACGTGTGGTGTCATTCGCTCAGGTCCAAGGCCACACCCCACCACCAGCAGTCCACCAGGGCACTTCTCCCTCTCCCTCCCTGGAATAAACTTTCAAAGCCAGTTTCTAGTCGACCTCGATTGGTTTTATTTTAGTTTTACACTTTGTCCGTCACATACAGTTATTTAAGAGTCCCGTACTGTTAGATTTCTACAAAAATAGCCATTTTTCAAAAGCAGAAAAGAGGGAAAGATATATTTTAATATATAAAAGGAAAAAAAAGCTAAATCTGACATTTCATTATATTCTTAAAAACATTCCAGTCTATTTACAGATGTGTAAAAAAGAAAGAAAAATCTCCAGGTCTCTTGGTCTAGTGAGAACGTGCGCCTTGCAGGGGCTTCCTTTGTTCTCCTGATTCTCCAATCTCTACATTACGTGTCATATTCGTGCATTATTGCCTCAAAAGACAGCATACATAATTTTAAGGTTTGCCCCAAACCCACGGGAGCTTAAGGGAAGAGTGAAATAAAGAGTAAGCATTTAAATTCATAGCAAAATATTAAGCCACAGGCATGAGGCGGTGGAACAAGGAGAGGAAGATCTGAGGGCATTTCAAACATGCTTTGTTGCCTCATAGAACCTATCACAGATCCTTCTTGGAACTCCACCAACTGCTACTTTTTGCAGCCAAATTTGGGGTCTGCTCTTAGTTAATTTAGTAAACACTTTCAGGAAGCAAAAGTTTTTGCTGCCCTGTTTACACAGTACAATTTTATGGCAGTAAAATTCCTCACTGCCCAGTGCCAAACAGTAAATGCATCCACACATTTTCCATTACCTTGATAATGGACAAAAAAAAAATCCTCTGAAGTACAACATTTATTTTAGATTAAGATTTGAATTCATGTCACAGCTTTCTCTGTCCTACTGAAGTGTGCAAAATACAGATACCTTTAAAAAGTTTTCAGTTATGATTAGCACATGATTCTGTCATTAAAATTAGAACCATAAAAGGCTGGGGTGCAGAAGGAAAGGTGGGTGATCAGGGATTTGGAAGGAATCACAGCACAGTTCTAGGTGCTGCTTCACACGCAGGAGGAATTAAAACTCTTGGCAAAACAAACTGCCACAGGTAAAAAAAAAATAAGCAACTTCAGCCTATTAGAAACACACAGAACCAGATTCCCAGGTAAGGAAATTCAAGTCTGATGTGATTCTACTAAATTGAGTTACTCCAGATTTCCACTGGTTTAAAAGAAGGTTAAAAATCTTTAGTAATAAACAATATGTCTTATATTGTCAAGTCCCTTTCCTAAGTTCTTCAGTGACAACTGTGAGACCCTGCATGACTCTCATGCTCTTTGCCAAATCACTGATCCAAGACTTGTAGCAAACATTAAAATAGTTAATGTGCAAAAGGTAGCAAGGAGTTAAAGGTAACTGCTTTAAAACAACACCCTTTAGAGCGACCAGGTGAAGAACCTGTTTTTGTAGGCTCTGGAGTAACTTTACACACCCCAAGCTTGAAGGGCTTCTCTCCTCTGCGACATAACAGAGAACCACAAAAACGATGAGGAAGCACCCAAGGGACACGTATCCCCGTGGCTCCAACCTAGGCACAGATCCAGAAGATGCAGCTCACTGCACCACTGCATCATCAAAGCAGGGGAATTTCGGGGGGAGCACTAAAGACAGGGGATTACATTCCTAAACAGAAAGCAAAAAACGCACAACCCAATTGTGTGTCATTTTCATGGCAACGTTTTTTTTACCTTTTTTGGAGCAGTTAAGAAGCCCCTCAAGCGCACACCTTAACTCATATTTACAAACTTGATATGAAAAGATTGTGTATACACTCGTTAACAAATCATCTCTCCTAGGCTGAAAATTTCATTTGTCAAGAAAACTATGAAAACAAAAACTGTGTACAAAAATATAAATATCTTTAGAGTCTGTAGGCCCTTCACATCCAACAGCTGAACACCGAAGAGTATCTACAGGTTATTGAGTAAGCAGTGGCAGAGAAGAATAAAAAATACATCTTGATTCAATACTGCCCTATTTCCCTGGTAATGAGCATTTTTGTTGATTTTTTTTTTTCTTTTTGCTATACACAGCTTGTGCAAATGCAGTGAGAAACCTCTGAGTACCTTTCCTGAATTTATAAAGAAATCGAAGGTTTGGAAAGATATACACATATTTTCATATATACATTCACATATACACCTTGCCCATCTTTGCCAGGCTCCAACAGCTTCTGTACTTCTATGAAGCAACACTTCCTATTAACATTCCTAGCCACCAAATATGTCTTGGAGGAATGACAGGAGGAAAGAAAACAAGGATTGGGAAAACACTCACAGCTACCTCAGCGACGTATTTAAAGACGTAGCAACAGGGTGCCTAAATTTCTTTCTGCTTTCTGTCATTTTTCCTTCCAGGTGTCCTAAGCATGAGAGGAGGGAGGATTTGTACAGGGGCAGGAGGGAAAAGGGGGGTGTGTATGTTTTTAGTAGTTTCATTAACATTAACATACTGTCCTACTTCTAATCACACTGGGAAATATAATTTTCTTCCCCTTGTAGTGAGAGATATAGATGTCAATTAAAATCTTACGTGCTCCTATGAAGAGAGTCTGCCAGAGAACCATCTAGCACCAAAGAACAAAAACTTTTCACTTCAGCCCTCTGCACAGTCTCAGGTTTCCCTTCTGCTGCTCTATGAAATGTGTTTTGAGAGTAACTGCAATCTCATTTCTGCACATTAATCGTATTCTGCAAGCATTAAAAACAGCACATGTGAACAATCCCATTTCTGCATAGATCATTTGCCTGGTACAAAAACAAGTAATCCAGATTTTTTCCCCCAACAAGACAGCTGCATCCCTGCTGGGGGAAAAAAAATAACAAAACAAGCAAACAAGAAATCTCTTTCAATGGCCTAAGTTTCTCAGTCCTTTGACAAAGTATTCCTGCGAAGGACCCAATTTTGGAAGGATACCATGTGCCCAGCAATGGTTATAGATCATCCTCCTGGTTTTGTGAAGGAGTAGGAGAACATCCATAATACAAGAGTGAGGTAAAAATATGTCAACGTGCTTCAAGTTTCAGAGCACGTATTGCTCAGTTTGGGGCCTGCCCTCAGAGGGACAGTGCTGCTGTCACAGGGGACACGAGCTCTGTCCCAGCCTCTCACAAACACACACCCATCTATTTGCCCGCTGAGTTCGAAGGCGAGGTCCCAGGGGTGCTCAGTTTTGTAACCACAGGTGCTAAGGTGGGCATCACTTTGTTCTCCTGTCCTTCTTGAGCGGTGGCAGGTAAGGAAGAAGCTTTTGCCCCACTGGCTGCCTGTTTTACCACTACAGGTGCCAGCAAGGGCATCACTTTATTACTCTGCCCTTCTGAGTCCGTGGGCAGACTTGCCACTTTTAAGCCAAGCGGTGCCAGCCTGGGCATGGGCCTCCACAAAGTGTCAGCATTACTGGCTTCTGGATTAGTCTTCATCTGTAAAACTGGTGGAGTCACATTAGTGGTCTCTGCCAAGGTGGTTGTGTTTTTGCCGTTCCCACCGCTAGTTTTGGACATATTGGGAAGTGGATCTTTCATTTCAGCACCTATCACTATCTTTAAAACATCTGCGTCAGATGAAGGCTCCCCAGAGTTCTTGTCCCCATCAGTAAGGTCATCATCTTCCAGGTGCACCAGGAGAGGGCTTATAGAGCCACCACCCTCTGAAACTTCAGCGAGGTCCTTAAAACCACCTCCCAGGTGGCCAAACTGGAAGGACGCCCCGTCTGGGGCAGCGAGATCGCTGCCTGTTCTGCGACGAGCTTCCGCCTCCCCACGAGCGAAGCCGGAGCCGAGGGTGCTGGGCAGCTCTGCCATGGCTGAGGCGTCCTCGTTCAGCTGCTGGTTGAGGAAGGCGATCTCGTTGAGCAGCGAGGTGAGGGTCTCCTCGGTGTCATCACTGTCCTCAATGCTGCTCAGCAGCTCGCTCGCGTCCAGGTCCGCCTCCTCCATGGCGGACGCCACTTTCCTTAACTCCATCTCTATCCTGGCATCTTTGATCTGCAGCTTGCGGAACGGGAACTCTTTAGATTTTAATCTCTCCCCTCCGGGATCGCCGTCCTTCCTCCTGGCTTGACTTCCCACAAGCTCACCAAGGCCAAGCTTTTTGCTGAAGGACTCTGGAGGTTCCTTTGTACACGAGACGTTCCGGATCTGGGGAAAGCCATCTTTATTTTCAAAGGGAACTTTTGTGGGACCCGTAGAATTTCTTCCATCTCCACCACCGTCTCCAGGACATAGTTTGGGTTTTTCTTCTGAAAGGATGTCATCATTCTTCCTATTTTCAAGGGGTGCTACAGCCAAGGATTTCTCAGAAGCTTGAGTGCCTGGAGCCGTTGATACATTAGAACTTTTGTTTCTGTTTGGGTTTAGACTCATGCTTCCCTCAGTAGCCAGTGACGTTACATTAACTATCTTTGGCATCATGAATGAATCTTCATTATCTGCAAAACCAAAGAAAGCAGCATGCGTCAGGATCCATGTTAACTGCAAAGTAATTCCTAATTAAATATCTTTTGGTCACTTTCAGTTTTTCCTCAAGTAACCTGCTATTCACAATTTAAACCGCTTACACAATTTTGGTGAAGTGGAACCTTAAAACACTAATAGCTTGACTTTCAACACGTAGAACAAGAGCAAGGTCCACACCCCTTATACCAGAACCACTTGCCCAGTCTGCTCCTTCAGCAGGCTGGCACAAACACTGGGGACTGTAACACATACAGTTCAGATGGGGACACACAAGGAAAACAGAATGACAACCTTCTCCCCCACTGGTTTTTCATGCTTCACTTTTACGCTCGTGTTTTGCAGTCCTGGTTTTGTGGGCAACACTACAGAGCCATTTCAGGGACTATGTGATTACTTACATTTTTTGCCTCCAAGCAGTTTCCCTATTTATAGCGCTCAGATTATTCCCAGCCCCAAATCTAAAGAGAACTTCCCATTTCCACTAGGACCAAATGACTACCATGAAGCAGGAAGCGAGTGGCTTGCCTTTAACAGGACAGATGGCAAGCAGCACACTGCTGGGAGGAACCACCCTGTGCCTAGACCCAGCATACAGTACTCAGTCTTGAAAAGCATCTCACCAATGGGCAGCAGAGCTGGCAGGACACAGGAAGGGGTTGGCAAAGATTTTCAGCAGCCCCACCATCAGTGTGCACTGCAGCTTCCCCAGCAGGATGCATTACAACACAAACACATTCCAGTCCCTGCTTATTCTGATTTTGCTGAGAGCAGGGAAGCTCAGTGAGGTGAAGAAAGTCAAAAAGCTCTCATCTATAATCAGATGGCCCCCTTAAACTGTTCAAAACATTTAACAGTGATTTTCTTTGAATACTCAGATAATAGTATCTATCACAACTAACTTCCTCGTGAGAAAATCATTTACCTTCCTTGTTGCAAGGATAACATTCCCTGCATGCAAGCAAAAAGATCCATAAGAAAGAGTGAGCCTACCTGGATGGGACCCTGTAGCTGGTACTACTGTTGAGGGCGCTGGGTTTCCAGCAACAGTTGACAGTGTAATAGGAATGGTAGAGTTAGTAAGGATTCCTTTTACTTGGACAGGAACTGTTGATCCTGGCAGCTGAATCATCACAGAAGCAATACCTTATCCAAGAAAAGGGGAAGGGGGGGTGAAGTGGAAACAAGAGCCTTTCAGATACTCCAGCTATGGAAATAAGAGCCTTGCACTTCTAGACAAGACTTTACAATGCAACACCATCTGAAAGTGTTAAGATTAGAAATACAGATTGGTTAGGTGATTAAGAAATCTGCCCTACATTTCCCTGATTTGGGAACAGCAAAATCTAACGGATTTTACCTACCTGTTGATAAACTGATAGTTTAATTATATCAAATCTCCCTTATCAGAGTCAAGTTCTGCCTCAGTTAAGTTGTGCAAAATAAAAAATCCAATCATTAAAGCAAGACTCAGCTAAGACGTTGCTTTGTAAGCTGCTATGCACATGTACAGCAGCAGCAGAGGGACGTACCTGGCTGGGCTGTCACGGTGGAGCCCAGCGCCTGGGGCTTCAGCTCCGCCTGCAGCAGCGTGGAGGGCACAGCTGCCACCTGCCCCGGCCCCAGCGGGCTCTTCAGGGTCAGCACCTGCCCCTGGGGAGTCATCACCAGGCTGGCGGCCGTCAGCGTCACACAGGACGTGGTGTCCTCTGCCAAAGGAGACAACAGCAGGGTCAGTCACTCCTGGCGCAGCCCCCGCGATGGGAGAGGATCTCCCGCGGCCCTGCGCCGAGCACAGCTCTGGAAGGAGCTCCAGCTAGGAGGGTCACAAGCCCCAGGTCAGAAGCTGCTGGGCAACCTACACAGGCTCCAGGTACCTCACCCACACAGCCAGAGCCAGCCCTGGGCACTGCACCCGTCCTAACCCTCCCTGCAGCATCCTCATCAGGAGCCAGAGCAGGCCTGCTGCAATTAGAGGGGATCTCTTCAGTCCAAAGAGAGAAAGGAAGCGGTCTCCCTACAGCCAAATTATGATGCCAAACTTTGCCAAGACTGGATAAAAATGAGCTGGAAAAATAATAAATGAGCTGATAAACAATTGGATATTTATTTACTGGATAAACAATAAGTGAGCTGTTAAAAATGACTGGATAAAAAACCTGAGACCACTTCAAGTAAGGTCTGGTTATTATTACCAAAATAGGAAACATCACCAAATCCTTACAGAGTATTACAATGGTCCTACCATGAAAGTTTGGATTTCCACCACTCTTTTGTCCCTTCTTACATTTATGGTGCAAAAGTCTCCATAAGTGCCAAATACTGCTCCACCAATTCTCGGCTCAAAAAAATTTCTCAATTGTCTAACAGTTCTGTCATTTAATTTTCAAGCAAGTCTCCTGCCAACTTGAAAGCTAGCTTGTTTGGGGAGGGATGTTTTTAAAAGTAAGTCTATTCTAGCAGCTCCAGTATTCTGGGAGTTGAGTCAGCAGAACCACCTTTGACTCTCAGAAATGACTGCAGGATTGCAGGACAACTTAATGGGTATTTACTTCCCATCATTCTGAAACTCTAAAGACATATTCATCTGAAGAACTCAGTAGTGCAGGTCTCATCCTTACTGAAAACAAGTGGTTTCCACACCTACTGGACAGACACTTCCTGGTCCAGGGTATACTCAACCCTGCCTCAAGAGCAGAGCTGCCTGCAGCAGCAGATCAGCATTCTGCCCTCCCACAGGGTGTCCAACACGTGTCTCCCCTTTACGCTGCGTGCATTTCTTTTAGCCCACCTGTGGCACGGACTGCTTTTCTGGCTAGTATCAGTGGCTTGCCTCTTCTATTTGTCATAGCCACTTGGGGCAGCTCCTTGGGGACAGCAGGAGGTGGTTCCTGCTGTGTGCTAGCAGGCTGGGTTACAACAGGCTCCTCTGACCCAGGCGGTTTCTTTTTCTGTGCTTCTGCTTTTTGTTTGGCATAAATATATTCCAGCTTCTTCAGGACAACCTCTTCTGTCTTCCCTGCAGAAAAAGCATCAGAGTCAATCTACCTTCAAACTCTCTTTCCAAAACTAAAGAGCTGAAGACAGATCAAAAAATCCAATCTATTCAGTTGACGCCATTCAACAACTATGCAAGAGACAACCACCACCCTCACCAAGCAAACAGCATACTTAACAACAGAGGGGAGTCATTACCTAGATAGTCTAAGATTATTTTTCTTTTTTCCTTTAGGAATATCCATATCATTTAGAATTTATCTGCAGCTTCAATGAGCAGGAATCAGCTTGGACAAGCACTAGCACTTGCTGGACAAGTACCATTTGAAAATATCCACAGCTGTGGAAAAAAACCTTTCCTCTCTCTGCACAACAAATGTACAACTACCACACAAAATGTTACCTTTACCTGACAGTAAATTTCTTGAACTAATGGACTCTGTTACTCAAATGACATTTAGATGTAAATTCACACATGGTTTAGCATTGACATGGAAACTGTAACCTTGAACAAAGACTTCGTAATTAATTTGTTTTCTGTAGATGCACACAATTTAAGATGCTCAAAGTTGAAATAACCATACTGGCTCACTTCCTGCTTACTATTTATGTTCTAACATCATGGTCTATCTTTAAGTTTATATTTAACTAAATCTCCTGAGTGAGGATTTTTTCCTCAGTTTTAAGGTACTGACTAGGAACACAAAGGATCAGAAAACCACTCTGTGAAATTGTTTGCTCTCATTGCCTGCCCAAAAGGCCTAGCATACATTTCTGGATTAAGATGAGGGTTCACCAAAACTCTTATTTATTTTTGCCAAGTACCTCAAATAGACATGAAGTGATTCACATAAACACACAAGGTTTAAGTATCTTTCATTTCTACTACACAGGGTGCCTCTTGTTGTCATTCCCAGACAGTAAGATCACAGGAATAATTCAATATTTTGTTTGTTCATACACATTTTGGCAGTGGCTAAATATGTATCACAACTTTCCCACACCTCCAAAATGAGATACAAAGACATAATAGATATAATGTAATTTTGCCTTGAAATGCTTAAAGGAGTAGCAGCTGAGAATATACTGCAGTTCTGTTTGACGGAGAGAGCTGCCACCTTCTAGACATTCCTAGCACTAATTCTCAGAGAATGAGTACTAGGATAGTCATTTGCCAAGCTGCTCAAAAAGGAGTCAGAGGTTCTAGTACTGGCCACAGACACCTTGTGTCTGCAGCAGAGATCATTCTACACTCTCTTTAGGCACAAAGGAAAGCAAGTGTCTCTCTTATCAGCAAGGTGAGTGTACCGCTGAGTCAGAGCTCTGCAGGTCTTTGTTTGGCGTCAAGAGTCTAAATTTTATGTCAACTAGTGACTCACATGGATCCAGACGATTACTCCACACATTCCCACTCTTAAAAGCCTTTTCTTTCATTATTCCAGGTAGTCTGTATCCAAAAACAGTCTCACCTGAAAGCGTGGATACTTTTCGAATCAAAATCTCTTGGTTGCGTGTCAGTAAGTTCTTCCGTCCCACAAGTTTATCTGCCTGATCAGTCAATCCTTGGATTTCTTCATAGGCCTAGAAAAGTGTCGTGGAACTGATTCAGAAACCAATGATACACAAAATAATTTTTCCTTCCCAGACACCTTTGCAAAATTTACTTAGACATTTTCATCATCTTGAGAAACTAGGACACAGAGGAAGCACACTGTGGAATCACAGAATTGTTTTGGTTGGTAGAGACCTTTAAGATGATGTGAAGGACCAGGTAATGGCCCCTGAATGCAAGCTAGGAAGTGGTAAACATCTTATTTGTCCTTCCTCCAAAGTTCAGCTACTTTAAAGAAAAAAAACCCAACTTTTATCCCACAGTTTCAAGGTACAGCTGGTAAGCAGAATTATGGATCTACAACCTATGTTTTGTTTCCTGTTATTTACATCCTTACAATTAAGTTTTAAATGCCAGTATCACATGGAATTAAATGCTATCTTCTCCTTTAAAAAAAAATGCAAGTCTTCAATATATTTCAAAATTGCCTGAAGCGCAGACACTAAACCACTACAGAATTAAAGACATGCTTAAATTCAAAGGATACAACAAGGAGAGGGCTACTCTGAAATGAGGCATCTGTCTCATCAAGCTTAAACTTTTAGGAATAGAGATTGTTTCCAGTACCGTTTTATCCTGGGGAGTCCTGTAAAGATGACAGATGTTCCCTAGACACAGCATCACAGGGACTCACTCCAAGAGTTCACACCAGCTTAATTACTCTGTCCAGACTGTTACGATTCTCCTCCTCACTAAAGCTTCAAAATACTTACTTGCTTGAGAATGTAGGACTTGGAGACCTTGGGAAGGGTGTGTAACCCCAGAACTCTCTTCAGCAGCTCGAAGAGAACCCTCATCTCGTTCCGGCGCCGGCGCTCGTTTGCCGTGTGGGTCAGGCGGTAATGAGCAAAAGCTTCGGCTTCAGTCTTCTGCCTCCTGTTCCGGAACTGCCGCTTCTGCTGCAGGGGCAACCAGGCACCAGTTTAAAGGCAACAAGGTAATGGCATGGCAAACAATGCTCCAAGGCATGCCTCTTTGCAAGGTATCTACAGACACTTGAAGACTTCACGTCATGCTAGTCTGCTGTTATGTCTTCATGAGAGTTCAGTGTCAGAAGCACAGGCAATAAGCATGAAATGCCAACCGACAAGAGATGACCAACATAATCACAGCAACCCTACAGGAAAAGGTCATGGGCAGTCCCTTCTATTCATAAGCTTTTCTTTTTTGCAATACAAAGCTACTCAGGTAAACCACAGGATTGCAGCAAAATCACGTTTGAGCCAATTTTGTTTTGTTTCTTTGCTTGTCAAAAAGAGTCTACTAATGAATGAAACAATCACATCAAATATAGGACGCTTGAATTTTTCCCTGGAGTTAAAATAGTTTCTGTTTTGTTTCATGGGTACATATGGGTTAGGGCCAAGAGACACTGTAGGTAGGAAAGGCGACATCAAAACTTATAACCACAGACATCTACCAAAAACAGAAAGCATCAACGACAGGCTCTGATTTTGAATTTGTTGAAACTTTCCAAAAAGGTTGGTAGGAAATAAATATTAAGTGCTAATCTCTACAGATTTGAAGATTTGTTATTTCACCATTACTCTTACAGGTTTTGTACAATTAAGCTATTGATTTAATGAAGTAGTACTAAAAAAGTAGTAATGTGGCTTTTTGTATAATTTTAGGTCTGGCCTGAACCACAGTGAATCAGTGGGAAGACTCCTCAGGTCCAGGGATACTATTTCGGGACCTGCTGGCCTTAGGAGGAATCTGAAGACTGTCTCCTGAACCCTGGCTCTGGACATCTGTTTTGCCTTCATGGTCAGACTGAGCACTGGCTGCAACTGCACCTGCTCTTGTGTTGGACATTTTAGGTTTCTTTCAAGGAAGGGCTTCTTGCCATAACTTCAAAGGCAGAGCGAATACATGAAGGAGGCGAGGCAAGGCAGAGCATCAACCTTGAACCCACCTCAGTCCAGGCCAAAGCACACACACCAGTCTGCTCTAATGTACACCAGGCTCAGCACCCACCTCAGAGCCCTGCCCCACCCCAGCAGGTAGCTCTAGATCTGACATCAAGTACATCAGTCATCAGGGACAGTGAAACTGGCTCCAAAGCCACCCTCAGACCCTGCGTGAGCTTCAGAAAGATTCCAATGACCTTTGGTTTGAAAGGATTCCGAGTTATCTTTAACCTCCCTAAACCTTTAAAATACTGCTTCAGAAATCCTTCACCCCAGTGCTGTGCCTGTGTAATCCTATGTACTGCCTCCTTCCACAGAACAAAACATTTCTGTCATTCCTTTTTCTGTGTGCTGTAAAAATTACTTGCCAAGAACACAAAGCCTAAGCAACTGTACTCCTACTTCGAGAGCAGCTCTTCCTCCTGCAGATGCAGCTGAGTCTGGAACCCCGCGACGCCAGCAGCGCTCCTTCGCTAATGAGATTTGGACTGAGCCACTTCCCCCCCAGATACACACTTGGTTTCTTGCATTTCATCATAAATACATGGAAGGCAGATAAATTGTTTAAGAGCTGCGCCAGAGATGGAATTTTATCTTTAAAATGGAGGCGTGACACCAAAAGGAAAGAGGAGAGCAAACATATACCTTTGTACGCTTTTCTGATAACTTTTCATCCGAGGAACTACGAGCATGGCATCTGGAAGAAAGGCAAAAAGTTTTTCCCAACACTACTCATCTCATGCACTCTATCCTCATTTACTACATTCCAACAGCCCAGAATTACTCATTTTTATCCCCTGAAATTAACTCTTCCTTGTGTAACTGCATGAAAGCAGGACACTATTGAGCTTTCTCTATCGCCAATGCCATCATCCTGGAAAAAAAATTGAGCTGTTCTGAAAGCTGCAAAATTAAGCCCAAAGAGCAAGGCAAACTATTTCACTATATGCCAACGACCAGCCTGTGACTGTTTGCTGCAGAAAGCGTTTGTTTTTTTTGTTTTAAAATGACATTTTGATTCTTTTTTTAAAAACACATATTTAATACAGATGGCAGAGCAATCCCACCCCCACCAAGAACAACCAACAAAAATCCTCACGTTTATTACTATCCTAATATATAGTAACAGCTTCCTCTTATGTCAGGAGCTTCTAGAAAATAAAGAATAAGACATATTTGAAAGAATTATTTTTTAAAAAACATTACATCTATTTTTCCCCTCTCTCATTGGAAGATCTTCACAATGTATAGCGAAGTGCCCATCTAAGGGTAAAAGCTGAGCTGTATCTTTGAAGGAAAAAAAACAGGACCTATCTGGGAGGTGTACAGTATCAACAAATAGATTCTTTCAAAGCTTCTACAAAAAAAAAAAATTAAAAAAAACCTAATACAATGTTCCTCATGCTTTTGTTTAGTGCGACTGAGTAGCAGCCATGACCATCTTCACATCCAGGACGCCGTGGTCTTACTTTGCCTTGTGTCATACTCAGTTTGGAGGCTGGGAGGCGACTCACTCATGGTAATTTCACATTAAACACACGCACCCCCAGGAACAAATGAACTGGAGGTGGGGAGAGGGGACAAGGGGCTCGGACACCTCGAGTCCACCGAGCCCGGCCAGCCCCGTCCCTCAGACGCCGGGCAGCACCTGTGCCCAGGGGGACCTGGCACAAGCCTTGCTCCATCTTACCATCACACTGAACCTGTTCTTGAACGGGCTCGCTCAACGCCAGCTCAGCAAGAAAACACAGAACTGAAGTGCTCTCCAAGGATGCTTACTTCTTTTTGGAAGGTTGGGGATTAGCAGCTGTGGCCTTCAGACGGGCAATGTTAATCTTCTCTGAAAGCTCCTCCACGGTCTCAATGTCCACCTGCTCGTCATCCTCACTGTATTCACACGCATCCTGGAACAGGTTTTGTGTTGTTTTTTAAAATGAGTATCTGCTTAGCAAGAGAGCTCAGGCCAAAACAGTTTCACTTCAGTCTCAGAAAGAGATTACATTGCAACATTAAGAACCCGTAAAGAATCCACACCTCCAGCCACTCTGGCCAACAAACAGTGCTAAGCAGGTGGATACTGTAACTGTCACCTCCAGGGATTCCTCCCACTAGTAAGCCTGGAAAATGACTTTGGGTAAGGGCAAAACCCATCTCCATCCTTTATGCTTTCACTCTGGGTGAGATCAAAAGCTATCACAGGGCAGGGCTTCCCCACCTCCATTTCCAAGCAAGGTTCAACTGCCTTTACAACCCACTGCTGCAGGCTCTTGCTAATTAACTTTTTTTTGACACAAGTCGAGGCAGTTATCGCTTTGATAATGGTCTCTCATACCTAAGATAGGAACAGCCAGAAGGTAAAACAACAAGGCTTGTTTGGGTCATACAGTAAAGTGCTTACATGATGAGGACTATGTAGGATTTTGGCTCTTTCCAAAACACTGCTCAGTAATTATTTTACATCGTTGAATTTGAATGACTTTTTCTCCATGCTTGCCTGCTCAAGAGAACTTGCTACCATCGGTGAAGACAGAGATGGAGAACAACTGCAGTGCTGTGGCAACCACAAGAGGCGAGTATCAATCCTGGGGTCACTGCAGTATCAGCCGAGGCCCCCGACACCGCCCCCCAAACAAAACAAGCCTTTTTCAACCATAGTTTTCTACTACAGTTTTTACTGAACTTTTTAATGTTATAATTTTTGGTCTGCCTACAGAATGCAGAACTCTCTTCTACTTAACAAAATACAGTTTTATTTCCATTCTGCACTCTATTTCACACACTTCCCTAAAGTAACATGATGTTCTCCTGTTTTTCCTTGTTCTCTTTGTCCTTTTCTTTCTTTCTGCGGAGACACACTCTCCTCCTCCTCTGAGCTGAATACTTACCTGAAATTACTGTGTACAGTTCATTATAAAAAAACACTAAGTGCAGAACAGGGAAAAAAAAAAAGGGCAATGTGCAATACTGGATGAGTAAGCAGCCTCTCATACATGCTTCTCATGGTCCTGATTATTTAAAGTTCTCTGCAACTCTGCTGTTTTAAGAAACTCTGATTAGAAAGGAGAAAGTGTTGCAGTCACTCAGCTGACCACAGATTAGGCTACATATAGCACTGCAAGGAAAACAAACAAGAGCAGACTAAATGACCACACAAGCACAACTAACAAGAGGTTAAGGACACACATTTCCAGTCATCAGTCATGGAATTTGCTGCAGCTATGTTAGTGTAAAGGGACTCACTCAGAACCAGACAGTCACTCAGTGGCCAATTCCCTTTTTGACAGAGAAGCAGCATCTCCAATAACCTCATGTTTGATACAACATTTGGTTTCTTCATACTGACTAAACACAAACTTTTCTAAACAAAACAAGAAAGAAGAAGAATAGAGCCCACAACTCACAGCAGGGCTACCGGAAACTCCAAGATCAAGAGTAAGATTGCACCCCTCCTGACAGCACAGTGGCCACCACTGTGAATCAAGATGCCACTTAAAATTATCAGGAGTTTTTTAGATCTTGTGTAATACATCACCTCCCATGTCTCTGTCTCTCTACAGAAAACACAGCAGGGAAAATAAAGAAATTTTGCCCTGCTTTACGAAAGGCTACTCTGGGGATATACCCTTGTAAAATCAAGCAATGTAGCCTTCAGAGAAGCGCAGAGTGAGTGTATGTGCATATAGGTATATATTTTATATGTATATATAAATATGCTTTTTTCATACCTTTTTAGATATAAAGAATGTTTCTGTGCATCCTTACAAACCACTGTGTGCACTCCCACGTTCATCTAGTATCTCTGTGCTTGTAAAAACTCCTGTCTTTTGGAAAAAGAAAGAAGAGCAAGGAGAATGACCTCAGATGAGAAACTGCCAGCCTTACAGAACCACCTCACTCTCCCTTTCAAGGATATTTTTAACACGTGCTGACTTGAAAGACACCATCCTTCTCTGCCCAGGAAAGCAGCTTTGATCTCTAGGGAGTCCTGTATTTGGAAAGCAGATAAGTCAGTTGTTTTACTACTGCCAACTTCTGGGCTTTCCTGTGGCTTTCCTTCACAACAGCTCTAAATCTGTCATAGGCCATGGGAGTTCTTGTTAGGAGTATAAAGAGCAGCATGAAGGTAAAACAAATTCTCACCTGACCTGGAAAGCATGGTGCCAGCAAGAGCACAAGGAGAGGCTGCCTCTCCTTGTGCATGAGAACCCAGCAAATTCTAACCTGTTCCACCCTGCAGAGGTTCTCCCACAAAGCAAGACTCACCAGCACTGGGACCAGTAGAGCACAGAGAAAATGAAGCCTCTTCACCAAGGAAGCTGTGCACCACTTTACACTTGACAGGCTGGTCAGGGGCTGTATGGCACCACTGCTCCTTGAGACAGCGGGAGAACGGGAGTCACCACGTCCCTGGGACCTCAGTGGGGTCCAAGCAAACACTGCTGGCAGTCTAGATCCAGAACACACGTGCCAGGGGCCACTGAAACTGCAACTGAGTTGAGACTACATTGCATTTCACCAAAGGTATTCCAGCAGCTTTGGAACTCTGCCTGTGACCACTACGCAGTGTGGTTTCTTGTCTGTCCAGCAGCTCTGCAGGCTTACAGAAACTTATATTTCTGGAGTTCTGCTGTACCAACTTCCTGTGTAAGGACTGCCAACCTGTCACAGGCTGAACCCTATCCACAGGCTAGCGTGACTTCCTGTCAGGGTGCAAGACCTGTAAGAAGTGTGTGGAAGCCTTACCTTTCTAGCAGCAC